GCGACAGAGTCCAGTATTGTTAGAAAGTAAACATAAGGAATGGAGAAAAAGTTATAAAAATTGGGTAACTATGGGTGTATTTTTGATTTTTTTTCCGCAATCATAAATACGGAATGAAATCTGAAGGCTGAATCTGAAATTTAGATTTCATTCCGTATTTATGATTGCGGAAAAAAATCAAAAATACACCCATAGTTACTCAATTTTTATAACTACTGTAATAGTCGAGCATTTAGAATCCGCCAATCAAATTCTATTCAGACTATGCCGCATGATAGAGCAAACAATTCTCTACAAGATGAGAGGTCTCCGAGCTCTCTAAGATGTTTTTTGATTGAGCTACATCAAATTAACGGACGACCAAATAGGATCTTTTCAAGTCGTTTCTCACAATCACAAGTTTTGATTTATTCAACCTCAAATCTTGTTGAATTAAAATTCTTCAGTATAAACCAATATTTCTTCGTGTATTCCTACACAATATTCAGCAGATTGTAAACTGAGACATTGATAGGGTGTGTCTTCATCGACGGAGATTCGAAGATAAATTGTACGATTTATTATCGATGAAAGATACGTTCAATAGAAAATATTGAAGTCTTCTTTGAATATTGAGCGAAAATTGACACGATAAGTTCGAAATTGTTGATATCTTTCAGGAATATATAATCGATTATCAATAAAGATCAGAAAAGATTGTATTGCCCTTCTTAATTTCGTATGAGCATTTAAATCATCAGTATTATGAAAAAATTGAACATCGAAACCTTCAAGTATAGATTTAATCTGTTCACTTTGTTCATTTACTTTAAATAAATCATTTAAACCCAGCAAAACATAGATCGGATCTTGAATAAAAAAAGACATTTTTATGTTTTTCAAATAAATAGAATTTCTTTTTTTACCTAAAATAACTTGTTCGGCAAATAATTGAGATAAATCATTTGAAAGATTTTCTTGTGGTAAGTCATTTTCATCAATCATTTTTAAATGTATCACTTGAACATTATCATTAACAGATAAGAAATCGATTTTTTCCACCTTAAATACCAATCCTAATGCCAATAATATTTCATCTTCTTCTTCATACGCTGAATAAAGATTAACATTCGCATACGGTCGAGTATTTTCAATAAATGAATTAACTTCAATACTAAAAATAACCGGTTTATTTGTCGTTATCCGTTCCAACGACGATCCACTGGCAAATATCAGTGCAATATCCAGTGATGATGTAGTGGAAAAGAAGGTATTTATTGATATAAGACTTTGAATATGCTGTTTAAATTGATCGATTCCAGTTGAGGACATTAATTGTCCTCGATAATATGTTAATAAAGTTTGTTCTAAATGATTATTTGAACTTATTATTTGATTATGAAATCGACTGTATACTCAACCCAACTGTTGATGGATACGAAGAAATTCAAGTAAATATTTGGACTATTTTATGATGAAAAAATGTGTGTATTTTTTAGCATGCACTTAAATTTGGTGAATTAACTAAAGATGTTATCTCATACCTCTCTTATTTCTTGAGCTGTCACCCTCATTTTTGCACCATAAGAACAGTTTCAATGCTCTTTAAAATGGCTATTTACTTGTTAAAAATACTTGAGTGGCTGCACAGGTATATCGATTACAAAAGTTCTGTGAACTTTTTCTCCATTCCTTATGTTTACTTTCTAACAATACTGGACTCTGTCACAACCTTGAAGCCACCCGCCCACTCTTAGTCTAGTGACCTTTCTTCGAGGACATGTAGATTCCTGAACAGTTGTTGACCATGGATTGCTCTCTTCGAGCGAAGAAGATATGCGATAAAGGCGCTAAAATTTTGACGGACTGAGTTGGATTTTATTAGTCTTCATTTGATTTTGTTTTTCATTCTATATTGTGTCCTGGACTTCGACAAAAAAATGGGTCTCGCTCTCGCACAATATTTCACACAGAGTTTGACATGACTATTAAGAATTTTGTAATTGAACCTTTAGACAACATCAATAATTAATGCTCATGTCATTTCGAGTACGGTCAATTCATACGATGGAATACAATACTTAAAGTATACTATACATACTTTGTATAGAATTACTTCTCTTCTTTTCCTCACGCGTACCTATGTTGTACATGCTTTAGTTGCTTTAAATACT